GGTCAGTGTATGGTGTGCTTCCTTACATTGATGGTCAGTGAAGAGCACACCCTTACATTGGTGGTTGGTGGTCAGTGAAGATGTGCCCCCTTACATTGGTGGTCAGTGAAGATGTGCCCCCTTACATTGGTGGTCAGTGAAGATGTGCCCCCTTACATTGGTGGTCAGTGAAGATGTGCCCCCTTACATTGGTGGTCAGTGAAATGTGCCCCCTTACATTGGTGGTCAGTGAAGGTGTGCTTCCTTACATTGATGGTCAGTGAAGAAGCACCCCTTACATTGGTGGTCAGTGAAGATGTGCCCCCTTACATTGGTGGTCAGTGAAGATGTGCCCCCTTACATTGGTGGTCAGTGAGATGTGCTTCCTTACATTGATGGTCAGTGAAGAAGCACACCCTTTACATTGGTGGTCAGTGAAGATGTGCCCCCTTACATTGGTGGTCAGTGAAGGTTTGCCTCCTTACATTGTTGATCAGTGAAGAAATGTCTTCTTATATTGTTGGCCAGTGAAATATCTCCCTTACATTGGTGGTCAGTGAAGAAGCACACCTTTACATTGGTGGTCAGTGAAGATGTGCCCCCTTACATTGGTGGTCAGTGAAGATGTGCCCCCTTACATTGTGGTGGTCAGTGAAGAAATGTGCCCCCTTACATTGGTGGTCAGTGAAGATGTGCCCCCTTACATTGGTGGTCAGTGAAGATGTGCCCCCTTACATTGGTGGATCCAGTGAAGATGTGCCCCCTTACATTGGTGGCCAGTGAAGGTGCGCCCCCTTACATTGGTGGTCAGTGAAAGAAATGCCATCATATATTGTTTGTTAGTGAGAACGTGCCCCCTTATATTGTTGGTCAGTGAAGGCGTGCCCCTATACATTGGTGGTCAGTGAAGGTGTGCCCCATACATTGGTGGTCAGTGAAGGCGTGCCCCATACATTGGTGGTCAGTGAAGATGTGCCACCTTACATTTGTGGTCAGTAAAGAAATGCCCCCTTGTGTTGTTGGTCAATGAAAAGGTGCCCCCTTATATTAGTGGTCAGTGAAGAGTGCCCCCTTACATTGGTGGTAAACGAAGAAGCACACCCTTGCATTGGTGGTCAGTGAAGGTGTGCCCTCTTACATTGGTGGTCAGAAAAAAATGCCCCCTTATATTGTGTGGATCAATGAAAAAGGTTCTCCTTACATTAGTGGGCAGTGAAGGTGTGCTTCCTTACATTGATGGTCAGTGAAGAAGCACCCCCTAACATTAGTGGTCAGTGAAAAAGCACCCCCTTACATTGGTGGTCAGTGAAGATGTGCCCCCTTACATTGGTGGTCAGTGTATGGTGTGCTTCCTTACATTGATGGTCAGTGAAGAAGCACACCCTTACATTGGTGGTCAGTGAAGATGTGCCCCCTTACATTGGTGGTCAATGAAGATGTGCCCCCTTACATTGGTGGTCAGTGAAGATGTGCCCCCTTACATTGGTGGTCAGTGAAGATGTGCCCCCTTACATTGGTGGTCAGTGAGATTGTGTGCCCCCTTACATTGGTGGTCAGTGAAGATGTGCCCCCTTACATTGGTGGTCAGTGAAGATGTGCCCCCTTACATTGGTGGTCAGTGAAGATGTGCCCCCTTACATTGGTGGTCAGTGAGAGATGCGCCCTTACATTGATAGTCAGTGAAGAAGCACACCCTTACATTGGTGGTCAGTGAAGATGTGCCCCCTTACATTGGTGGTCAGTGAAGGTTTCCCTCCTTACATTGTTGATCAGTGAGAAATGTCTTCCTTTATTTTGTTGGCCAGTGAAAGAATATCTCCCTTACATTGATGGTCAGTGAAGAAGCACACCTTTAGATTGGTGGTCAGTGAAGATGTGCTCCCTTACATTGGTGGTCAGTTAAGATGTGCCCCCTTACATTGGTGGTCAGTGAAGATGTGCCCCCTTACATTGGTGGTCAGTGAAGATGTGCCCCCTTACATTGGTGGTCAGTGAAAGATGTGTCACTTGTGAAGATGTGCCCCCTTACATTGGTGGTCAGTGAAGATGTGCCCCCTTACATTGGTGGTCAGTGAAGATGTGCCCCCTTACATTGGTGGTCAGTGAAGATGTGCTTACATTGGTGTGCTTCCTTACATGTTAGTCAGTGAAGACGCACACCCTTACATTGGTGGTCAGTGAAGATGTGCCCCTTTACATTGTGTGGTCAGTGAAGATGTGCCCCCTTACATTGGTGGTCAGTGAAGGTTTGCCTCCTTACATTGTTGATCAGTGGAGAAATGTCTTCTTATATTGTTGGCCAGTAAAAATGAAATTCTCCCTTACATTGATAGTCAGTGAAGATGCCCCTTACATTGGTGGTCAGTGAAGATGTGCCCCTTACATTGGTGGTCAGTGAAGATGTGCCCCCTTACATTGGTGGTCAGTGAAGATGTGCCCCCTTACATTTGTGGTCAGTGAAGATGTGCCCCCTTACATTGGTGGTCAGTGAAGATGTGCCCCCTTACATTGGTGGTCAGTGAAGATGTGCCCCTTACATTGGTGGTCAGTGCAGGTTTGCCTCCTTACATTGTTGATCAGTGGAGAAATGTCTTCTTATATTGTTAGTAAGTAAAGAAATTCTCCCTAACATTGGTGGTCAGTGAAGTAGCACACCCTTTACATTACAGGTCAGTGGTGAAGACCGCCCCTTTATTCAGGTCAGTGGAAGAAGGACCCTCTTACATTAGTGGTTGACAAAAGTTGATTTTGAGAGTGAGAATGCAGACCAGCCAATCACACAATTCCATTGTGTTCATGACATACTGGGGTTGATTTACTAAACTGGAGCATGTAAAATCTGGTGCAGCTCTGCATAGAAACCAATCAGCTTCCAGGTTCTTTTGTGAAAGCTTAGGCCTAGTTCACACTGACTTTGAAAGCAGGCATTTGAAGGAGCATTTATAATGTTCCTCAAACGCCTATGCAAATGATACTATGGGCAGCACACAGTGCTGTTCACATTACCAAAACATGAAGTGTTAGCATCATGTTGCTTCAAAATTGAAGCCTCATGTTGAGTCAGGAGGAGTTTGAAGCCTTTCAAAGCCTCCCATTCAAGTTTATGGTGATGCTCCTCAAACGCACTGGAAGGAGTTTGCGAGGCATTTGCATTGCTGTTGCAGAGCATTAATAACATTACAGTTTATTTAGTTTGTGGTGTGGTTTTAATGCTTGTCAAATGCTTATAAAATGCTTCAAAACTGAACATAGGGTGTTTGGGGAGCGATTTTAGCATTTGTAAAATGCCAGTCTAATGCCCCGTACACACTATAAGAAAATCGGACGAACGTATTTGTCCGACGAGCAATCATGCAATTTTCTGACAGTGTGTACATCATTTTCGACAGCCGATTCCGATCTTACGAACGAAAATTAACGATGGTGCAAACATCAAAACGTTTGTTTGAACAGAACGAACGATTTTCATTTAATGTGTACTGTTTTCGTACGAGAAGAATTGGATACAAAAGACCGCGCCTAATCGGAAGCTGCTTATGACCCGGAAGAACCTGAAGAAAATAATCACCAAAAAATATTCGTAAGCATTACAGCCATTACTGTCAGTAAACAGTTGTCTTCAACCCACCCCCCAAAAAACACACATTACATATACCACTGCATCACAATGAATGTGTTTGCATGTTGTTGTAAAAATAAAACCAGAATTCCAAAACCCATAATGGCAATTGCAGTATTTTCAGAACATTCAGATACGGTATCCATGACTATTTAAAAAATTTGTGACGAAAGATCCGTTGATGGGGAATAACAAATATGGCACCGAAAGGTGTGGCTACAGGGTCACAGGTACATTACATCACTTCCACAGCTACGCTATGACGCCCTTATCGTACAATATTTTTCTCATGCATAAAAAGCACATCGCTGTTGACCAGCTGTGTACAATCGATGATAATTGGACGATCGTTTGTCCGATATTCTTATTATGTGTACGGGGCATTAAGCTCATTAACGCCCTGTCTAACGCCCATACTAAAGCTATAGAAGCATTTGGTAAGAGTTAGAAATTTGTCAAGTGGGAACAAGCAATTGAATAAGCTGAAGTTAGAAGCTGATTGGCTGCCATGCACAGCTGCACCAAATTTTTCACACTCTAGTTTTAGTAACTAAACCAGTATGAGTGTATCTTTAACTACTATCCGCGCTATAACTAACTAACGCGCTATAGCCGATCACGTGATGAGAGAAAAGGCCAATCACAACTCCCTTTTACCATGCGATCAGCTGTGTCCAATGACACAGCAGATCATGGAGTAAATAAAGTTGCTGGTTATCGGCAGCACTTTCCTCATGCTGTCACAGCCTGAGGAAAGTACTGCTGATAACCGGCAGCTGTCACAGAGCAGGGCAGCACTGATCATTTGGGCACTGATGATAAGTGCCCTGATGATCAGTGCCCTGCAGTGCCACCCACCAGTGCCTCCCAGCAGTGCCACCCACCAGTGCCTCCCATCAGTGCCCAGTAGTGCCCCCCATCAGTGCCACCCATTAGTGCTGCTCAGCAGTTGCGCCCATCAGTGCCGGCTGTCAATGCCCCGCAGTGCCATCAGTCAGTGCCTCCCACCAGTGCCACCCATCAGTGCCCAGTAGTGCCCCCATCAGTGCCACCCATTAGTGCTGCCCAGCAGTTGCACCCATCAGTGCCGGCTGTCAATGTTTAGCAGTGCCATCAGTCAGTGCCCCCCATCAGTGCCACCCATTAGTGCTGCCCAGCAGTTGCGCCCATCAGTGCCGGCTGTCAATGCCCAGCAGTGCCATCAGTCAGTATCACCCATCAGTGGCGCCCATCAGTGCTGCCTATCAGTGTCCATCAGTGCCACTTATCAGTGGCCATCATTGCTGCATATCAGTGCAGCATCATCAGTGCCTCCTCATTAATGCCCTCCAGTGATGCCTTATCAGTGCCAGCTCATCAGTGAAGCCTATCAGTACTCATCAGTGCTGCCTATTCATGCCACCTCATCAGTGCCCATAAGTTCTGCCTATCAGTGTACATCAGTGTTGCCTATCAGTGTCCATCAGAGCTGCCTATCAGTGCAGCCTCATCAACGCACATCAGTGAAGGAGAAAAATTACCTGTTTGCTAAATTTTTTAATAGAAACAAAGAAAACCTTTTTTTTTTCAAATTGTTTTGCACTTTTTTTGTTTATAGTGCAAGAAATAAAAACACCCAGTGGCGATTAAATACCACCAAAAGAAAGCTCTATTTGAGTGAAAAAAATGATAAAAATGTCATATAGGTACAGTGTTGCATGAACGCACAATTGTCATTCAAGATGCGACAGCGCTGAAAGCTGAAAATTGTCCTGGGCAGGAAGAAGGTAAGAGGCCACGGTAGGCAAGTGGTTAAAAATGTTTGAACTATCCAGTTAAAGAAGGCAGTCTGAAATATGAAGCGTTGTACATATTCATTTCCTATAGGACAGGTGTAGGACAAGCTGTCGTTTTTTGTCAGAATAAATATCACTCTGGTTATTGGAGAATGATGGTGATGTTGTATACATTTATATCCAAAAGGTGGCAGTAGCAGCACATGCAGCTACAGATAAGCTGGTTTTTGGACATGGATGCACTGTTTATGGGAAGAATAGTTAAAATAATAGGGAAAAGCAGGTTATTTTTGAGTAGAACCTACAGAAAAAAAAATAATTCTGACCCTTTTACAGACAAACAAGACACCCACTGTGGTGATTTAGCCAGCAGTGGTACAGATAATGACATGCCTTATTAGATCCACTAAAAATACTTTTTTGATGTTAAAGTGACATTTCTCACGAAGTTTAAATAGTTTGTAATTCCATTGTAATGCTTTTCTGCATAATCTCTGAATGTAATAGGCTGCTTTAAAGCTTAAATCCAGGTATGGAATTTATTGTATCTTTTATTGTTCTGTCTTGGACCAATGTTGGTATGCATAGGCCACACCTGTGGGACAGCTGTGGAAATGGAGAATCGCTGTAGTAGTCATTGCTACTACAGTGATCGCCACTATATTTGGGTCCCATTTTTTATGGGCCCCATTAACAGAACACCTTTCAATTTCTAAATAAATGCAAAGCATTCTCTGACTGGATGAGGTGGAGAGGTGGGGCATTGACATCATGAACTCCACCTTATCCAGTCATGCATTCATCAAGAAAAATGCAAGGAGTTCTGTGGATGAAGCCCATGCCAAGATATCGGTGATCACTGCGCTGCCCTGCTGCATAGTGAACACAGGGGGTTACATGCAAGGCAACAGACTCCATTCACAGAACACCAGAACATTGTTCTCAGTGAATGCAAAGTATTCTCTGATTGCATAAGGTGGAGATTGTGATGTTACTCTCCTTCATCCAATCAGAAAACACCTTGCAGTCACTGAGAAGAAGGCATTTTGTGAAAGGCGCTCATGCCAAGCAGGCCCTGGAGGACAGCAGCAGTCATTGTAGTAGTGGTGACTACTACAATGATTCTCCACCTTCACAGTGGTTCCACAGGTATGGAAAATGCAGGCTTGCATTGTTCAACTTGGACTATGTAATAACATCCATACCTGGTGATCACCTTTAAAGTGGCATTAAACCCAAAAGCAAACATTTATTATATTACAACTTACCCATTCTTAGATGTGATGGCTGCATTTGTTTTCTTCTTTAGGTTTTCTTTCCTTTTTTTTTTTCCTCTGTTGATCTAGCAAATACTGTAAGTCTGATGTTTCTTCAACAGAACAAGCTGTCCTGCAAATTTAGCAGTTAGAAAAATGAGACAAACCATTTACTACTGACATGGGTGCTTACAATGATCAGCTTTTATTTATTTATGTAAAACCTTTATTCCTAAAGGAGCTTGTGGGGGTTTCCTCCTAAACTGCAAAGACATGCTGGTAGGTTATATGGCTCCTGGTCAAACTGGCCTCAGTATACAGTATCTCCCATAAGTGAGTACACCCCTCACATTTTTGTAAATATTTGATTCTATCTTTTCATGTGACAACACTGGAGAAATGACACTTTGCTACAATGTGACATAGTCAGTGTACAGCTTGTATAACATGTAAATTTGCTGTCCCCTCAAAATTACTCAACACAGCCATTAATGTCTAAACCGCTGGCAACAAAAGTGAGTACACCCCTAAGTAAAAATGTCCAAATTGGGCCCAATTAGCCATTTTCCCTCCCTGGTGTCATGTGACTCATTAGTGTTACAAGGTCTCAGGTGTGAATGGGGAGCGGGTGTGTTAAATTTGGTAGTAAAAAAGATATAAACGAGCGCACCTATAAGGAATAAATAGCAGCTGAACATAAGGTAACCAAACACCCTAAAGAACCAATATATCATAAAAATGCAGCGCTATGAGTAGATGAGGAACTGATACATATATCAATACAATGAGTAAAGGAATTAGTCCATGCAGCAGTAAATAATATAAAGTGACTTCAAGTGCTCTCCTTTAATTCGTATTTTCCTGATATTCAGGCGTTGTGCGGAATGGTGCAGAAGAAATGCGCACTCACCAGAACGCACAGATAAATGAGCGTTTGTTAAACATATGTTCCCCTCTGGATCGTTAGGAAAAAGGTCTGTAATGCGATAACCTCCCTCCAGGACTCCTGGTTGCTCCTGTCTGTTCCCTCAATAGGTGGCTTGCGGACTTCTCCTTACAGCACGCCCCTTGCCCAGTAGATGGATGAGTGGCTGAAAATTGATGCTCCCCAGGGGAGTCAAGACAAGGACATACCCATAGTGTAGTAGGTGATAGAAAAATTTATTAGCATATCAAGCTACTCGATGGTGTACAGCAGTATGTATAAGCGAATTATGGACTAACCGTCCAGATTGAAAGATGGCCGCCGGAGCTCCACGATGCTCCGACGGCGTGACGTCACGGCGTTCTTGGCTCCTCCAGAGGAGAGGGATTGGGGACGTGCGTGTGAGAGAGAGGAGCCAAGAACGCCGTGACGTCACGCCGTCGGAGCATCGTGGAGCTCCGGCGGCCATCTTTCAATCTGGACGGTTAGTCCATAATTCGCTTATACATACTGCTGTACACCATCGAGTAGCTTGATATGCTAATAAATTTTTCTATCACCTACTACACTATGGGTATGTCCTTGTCTTGACTCCCCTGGGGAGCATCAATTTTCAGCCACTCATCCATCTACTGGGCAAGGGGCGTGCTGTAAGGAGAAGTCCGCAAGCCACCTATTGAGGGAACAGACAGGAGCAACCAGGAGTCCTGGAGGGAGGTTATCGCATTACAGACCTTTTTCCTAACGATCCAGAGGGGAACATATGTTTAACAAACGCTCATTTATCTGTGCGTTCTGGTGAGTGCGCATTTCTTCTGCACCATTCCGCACAACGCCTGAATATCAGGAAAATACGAATTAAAGGAGAGCACTTGAAGTCACTTTATATTATTTACTGCTGCATGGACTAATTCCTTTACTCATTGTATTGATATATGTATCAGTTCCTCATCTACTCATAGCGCTGCATTTTTATGATATATTGGTTCTTTAGGGTGTTAAATTTGGTGTTATCACTCTCACTCTCTCATACTGGTCACTGGAAGTTCAACATGTCACCTCATGGCAAAGGACTCCATGAGGATCTGAAAAAAAGAATTATTGCTCTACATAAAGATGGCCTAGGCTATAAGAAGATTGCTAAGACCCTGAAACTGAGCTGCAGCACGGTGGCCAAGACCATACAGCAGTTTAACAGGACAGGTTCCACTCAGAACAGACCTTGCCATGGTTGGCCAAAGAAGTTGAATGCACGTGCTCAGCGTCATATCCAGAGGCTGTCTTTGGGAAATAGACGTATGAGTGCTGCCAGAATTGCTGCAGAGGTTGAAGGGGTGGGGGGGTCAGCCTGTCAGTGCTTAGACCATACGCCGCACACTGCATCAAATTGGTCTGCATGGCTGTCATCCCAGAAGGAAGCCTCTTCTAAAGATGATGCACAAGAAAGCCTGCAAACAGTTTACTGAAGACAAGCAGACTAAGGACATGGATTACTGGAACCATGTCCTGTGGTCTGACGAGACCAAGATAAACTTATTTGGTTCAGATGGTGTCAAGCGTGTGTGGCGGCAACCAGGTGAGGAGTACAAAGACAAGCGTGTCTTGCCTACAGTCAAGCATGGTGGTGGGAGTGTCATGGTCTGGGGCTGCATGAGTGCTGTCGGTACTGGGGAGCTACAGTTTATTGAGGGAACCATGAATGCCAACATGTATTGTGACATACTGAAGCAGAGCATGATCCCATCCCTTCGGAGACTGGGACCGCAGGGCAGTATTCCAACATAACGACCCAAACACACCTCCAAGACCACCACTGCCTTGCTAAAGAAGCTGAGGGTAAAGGTGATGGACTGGCCAAGCATGTCTCCAGACCTAAACCCTATTGAGCATCTGTGGAGCATCCTGAAACGGAAGGTGGAGGAGTGCAAAGTCTCTAACATCCACCAGCTCTGTGATGTCATCATGGAGGAGTGGAAGAGGACTCCAGTGGCAACCTGTGAAGCTCTGGTGAACTCCATGCCCAAGAGGGTTAAGTCAGTGCTGGAAAATAATGGTGGCCACACAAAAAAAATATTGACACTTTGGGCCCAATTTGGACCTTGTCACTTAGGGGTGGACTCAGTTTTGTTGCCAGCGGTGTAGGCATTAATAGCTGTGTGTTGAGTCATTTTGAGGGGACAGCAAATTTACATGTTATACAAGCTGTACACTCACTACGTCACATTGTAAAAAAGTGTCATTTCTTCAGTGTTGTCACATGAAAAGATAGAATCAAATATTTACAAAAATGTGAGGGGTGTACTCACTCTGGGAGATACTGTATATATGTAGGCATAGAAGATAGGGACCTGTAAGCTCCTTGATGGCAGAGAGTGATGTGAATGTACAATATATACGCAGTAGGTAAACTGTTGGTGTGTTATAAATACCTGTAAGAAATAAAAGATCATGTTGTTTGCCAGAGAAGCTGACACTCTATTGCAACTTAGAGGCAGATCATTTTGAGA